ATTTTTGAGGAAAATGCAAAATTCTTTTTGCATCTGTTCATTTAGTCAGTTAGGCAGCCTATAGTTAAATTTGAGAATTTCTAGATGCCATTTGCTATTATTTCAAAATATTGGTTGTGCGTGTGTCATAAATGGAACTTTTGTGTTTTAATCACTATGCCTTGTGTATTAATTGTGAGAATGTGAAATTACGGTTAAAAATCTGCAGCTGAACTATGTTAAGGGGCTGTAAGAATTTTAATTCATTAAATGAATAAAAGTGGGAGAGATCCCATTAATGAAAAGATAAAAATGTTGGTGCTTTAAGGGCATGGTTTGATAATTTAATGCTAATTAAAGTGTGTTTGGAGATATATATATATATATATATGTGTGATGTGTGTGTGTGTATTGTGTGTGTAATTTATGATATATATATATATATATATATATATATATATATATATATATATATATATATATATATATATATATATATATATATATATATATATATATATATATATATATATATATATATATATATATATATATATATATATATATATATATATATGTGTATACTATGTGTGTAATTGTTGTGTATATATGTATATTATGTGGATAATTGGATTTTGTTTGAATGATCGTTGATTGATATTTGTGATGTCGTAAAGTGGTCATTTTTGTATTAGAGTCTCATTCGTCTCATGGTCTTGCATAAAAAGAGATTTCATTTTTACGAAAGGAAAGGTTAATGGAATGCTTGGGTTGGATAAGTCGGGATACGGGGGGCCGATATCCCAACCATAGTTACTATAGATAAAGGGGTGGTTTGATTCCACCAAAAGAACAGGCTCAGAATAATATGCTTACCATCCAAGTAAAGAAGTTAATTTTTCACGGATCCGAACAACAGAAAATGTTTTCATTCATGCATTTGCACGAAAAGGGTAAATTGGTAATTTTCAGCATTTGAGTCGATTTACGTGCTTAAATGGAATTACGTGTTTGTTTGTGTGTGTGTTCGTTTGCCGACGAATGGTAAGATGTGATGCTTATGTGTATATACAAATATATGTAAAACCATATTTTAAAACATCGTTATCCATTCGGATTTCTTACTGGGCTTAATAGCTCATATAGATACTTCTTTGATTGCAGGTAGTAGTAGTAATCCCGCGCCGGAATGGACTGAGTAGTGGATCGGAGTCTTGGCCGGAGGCTTTTAGATGGTCGTACGAGGGGTCTATAAACTATGCTTATTTTATTTTGGTGATGTAAACTAAAAACAATTTCCGTATTTCCGTTTCCCTTAAACTCTAATATTTCCTCGTTAGAGAAATTAAACTCTTATCCTAGTACGGGCCTTATTTTGATAATAATATAGTTGGTCCGCTTATTTTGATAATTGCATTTCTTACCCGAAAATCCCTATTCACCAAACACCTTTAAACACTGATTTCTTCTCGAACCCAAATTAGAACCTATAGTTAGATAAACGTAGCACTCGAATAATAATCTCCCTTTCCAAAGTTATTTCGAAACGAAAAATTTAAACGACCAAAATCACCCTAAGAAGTTTTCGAAATTCTCAAGGTTTCCAAAAGCTTTCAAATTACCCAAAAGGAAATTTTTAGAAATTACATTTTGGTCCTACTGGAAAGTTTTAAAAATTACAAAGAGATCCCTTTTGCTTCCGCTATCTACATAAAGTTTTCCGATAAACCGGTTCGATTTATCGCCCGACCCGAGAAGGATGCTACAGATAAACTCTACAAATATATATATGGGATGAGAGGCAAGGAAAATCGATATTAAATGTAAAAGGGTAAATTACACCCACACCCCTGAGGTATGCTTAAATAACTGTAAGGTCCCTGTGGTATTAATTATTACACTCACCCCCTGAAAGGAAGTTAAAAACTCAAACAGGATAATGCATTGGATACATTATTCCGACAGGGTTCTAATGGACTATTACTTTTGGCTAGTGGTGAAGACAACAAAGAGTTATGGGTGATTTAAAAAATATTGGGGGAGCCATGTCACCCCATAACTCCCCATAACTCTATATTATCTCCACAACTAGCTAAAAGTAATAGTCCATTAGAACCCTATCGGAATAATGTATCCAATGCATTATCCTGTTTGAGTTTTTAACTACCTTTCATGGGATGAGTGTAATTATTAATACCATAGGGACCTTACAGTTATTTAAGCATACCTCAGGGGTGTGGGTGTTATTTACACAATGTAAAATATCATTTGACTTTTCAATTGTCATCTAGTTTAAGTCTATGAACATGATGTAATATATATTAATTATTAATTAATAGAAAACAAAATGTATGTTAAATAAATAAAAATAGGGGTCATTGCAAATAAGCCCATCAATGGGTACTTATTCATAAAGAGATCCAGACAAAAAACTCCTTATCAATAAGTCCACACATAGTCCAGATTTTTGTAAAAGACTAAAATAATTCCTCATACTTTAATATGCTCCAATTTCATCCTTAACTTAATTTAACCTCAATTTGACCCCAAATTTCACAAATTATTCAATTTTGACCCAAAACTTTTTTTTTCAAATTTTTTTGTTTTTTCAAAAACTTTTTTTCCCGCCGGATTCCGGCGGTCAACACCGGTCTCCGGCGTTGAGTTTTCAATTTTTCTTTTTTTTTTTTTCCGGATTGTTTCGCCGGTTTTTCGGCATTGACTTTTTTGAATTTTCTTTCTTTTTTTTTTTCTTCTTTTCTTTCTTTCTATAATTTTTTTTTTCGTTTACACAGCAATATTGCTGTGATTGACATAATATTAACTATATTACTGTTAAACACAATAAAATTAACTAAACTATAGTTTAACACAGTAATATTGCTATATTAATCTCTAGCACAGTAAGTTAACACAACAAAACTCATAATTATTGTGTAATAGAGTAATATTACTATGTTGACCGTTCAACAAATGTAAACATAATAAAAAAACAAAAGAATTAATATTAATGTGAGTGACAGTAATATTACTACAACAGTAATATTACGGTCAACTACAGTAATATTACAATAATAGACAGTAATTTATTACGTTACTCCGTGAATAACTCAAACAAACAAAAGATCCAAACAAAATAATAATATTGATGTGGTTGACAGCAATATTATTATAACAACAGTAATATTACTGTCAACCACAGTAATATTATTGTGTTTACAGTAATATCACAATAATAGACAGTAATATTATTATGTTACTCCGTGAATAACTCAAACAAAACAAAAAACCAAAAAAAAATATTGATGTTGTTGACAGTAATATTATTGCGTTTACAGTTATTTTACTGTCAACGACAGTAATATAATTACGTTGACATGTCAACAAATCAATTTTTTTTAAAAACAACAAAAAAATAAAAAATAATAATATTACATTAATTTACTGTCAACGGCAGCACAATTACATAAATGTATTGTCAACGACAGTACAATTACGTTAATTAACTGTCATTACATTATAATTACGTTAATTTACTGTCAGTGACAGCACAATTACGGTCAACTTTTAGCGCAGGACGTAAAAAAAACAAACGAACAAAAAAAAACTTAAAAAGACACTAAAAAAAGTCAACGCCGGAGACCGCCGGTTAACGCCGGAAACTAGCGAAAAAATGCGAAAGAAAAGAAAAGAGAGAAGAAGAAGAAAGAGATATAACCCCTAAACCTAGAATAGTAAAGATGCTTCGTTGGGGACTTATGCACAAAAACCCCATAAAAATAAATGAATTATGGTAAGGTACAGTATTACCGTGGTATTGAAAATACAATACCACTATCGTACTGTATGATAGCGGTACGGTAGTAATTCCGTACTGAATATTATGGTAACCATTATTTTGGTTATTTTTTGGTAATTTGTGGCTGGTATATTATAGCGATGGCAGCATTGCATAATCTCTTAGCCTTCACTTTTCGTTGTTTTGTCTTGTTTTCTTTTTTCCACGTCTCCTTGTTTTAGTAGGTATAGCTAGTGTAATGAGGTTCCACTGAAAGGAATTAATTTCTTTCCAAACTAAGAGGGGTACCAAAAAGTAAATGGCTACCCAACGATATATCATCAATATAATTGATGTGCAACATGGAAAGTAAATGATGAATAGATGTTTTTATTTTTATGCATAAATACTACGCACCAGGTGTTTCAAGAGCATTCCGGTCAAAAGTTAAAGCTCTAAAATACATAGAGCAACAGTAAAAATACTACGACCACAGGTATATATTGGCGTTGAATCATTTCATTGTATGGCTTTTAATGTTCATTTTCTTTCTTATGGAAAACTATGTTGAAGGGTGCTCATATTTGAGGAAGTAAGTTCTTTGTTAGAATATAGAGGTGAATTAGCTTTGTCATTGAATTTACAAATATTACTAGATTGAGATTGCATAGGAATAATTTTCCTTGTATCGACTAGATGCGTAAAAGTAGAATTCATGCATCTATTTATTGCTTTACTAACTCTACCTATTTTACGTGTGTAGAAATATCTTCCTAATTTATACTTTTTGTGCACCCAAAATGCTCTTTTTTTCTCATAATTTCGGTTATATAAGAAACAGTTTTTGCTATCCTTTTGCGCACACCTGCTGATTTATTTTTATGATGTCCAAGTTCCAACCTCTACTATTTGTGTCATCTTGAAAAATTGTTTTAATCACATGTTAATTTGTTGTCTTAAGTTACTATTCACTCAAGTAATCGAGCAAATTTATGGCCATATGAAGTAATTATAACTCTATCATTTTCTGACCACATACAAGATGGAGAAGGCATAGACCCTATGACTAACCCTCAGCTGCTTCAACAGCCCTTGGTGGTTTTGCGAATTTCCGCAGCAAATCAACCTCGAGAAGTAAAGTAGATGATCTAGATGTGTATATATATACACACACACATATATATATATATATATATATATATATATATATATATATATATATATATATATATATATATATATATATATAATTTTGTGGAATCTTTTTATTTATTTGTTGTATCATGGACTTTATCATGCTGTTACCATAGATTTTGGTATATGCTTTTGCATAATTTTAATCAACTTTTGTACTTTCAACTTATTTGGGAACATAACATGGAGCGAGAACAAGTCGGGGAAGGTTCTGTGATGCCTTATAGACCTTCCAAGCAGAAAAAAACGAAATTAGGTGGTGCAACAAAGGCATGCCTTCTCTTGTAGCTATTTTATCCTTGCATGCAAGGGTCATTTTGTCGCGTATATATCCTGCTATCTACGTTGTATTAAATTAATTAATTATTGCTTGCGGCAGTTGAATAGAATTAGAGATTTGGACATGGAAACAATGATCTATCAACTGTGAATGGAGGCTTCACTTTTTGAAATTTTAAATTTATTTAACATTTTGTGCAGAAGCCAATCAACAAAAGAGAAGTGGATGACGACTCGTGGATGCCCGAAGGATGGGTGAAACGAGTAAACAAAAGGCCGTTGACTGGAAAATTTACCGAATACGAATACAAGGTAATTTACGCTATATTAATTGTTATATGTTTATTAGTTTGTTAGAATTTCAATAATTTTTCTACATTCAAAATATTTTGATAAAATATGTATTTCTCTCGAGTATGTGTATGAGTATCACTTAGGGGTGGATTATCTACGGTTGCCGAATATTTGGCGTTGTACTGCGTACCTATCATATCTTATGGTACTGAATAATTTAATACAATTTCCTTACCAAAAATTGCGGTATGCCAATGTTCGATGTACCGTTACTTTCGGTACGGCATAATCGGTACATGGTACTCTACCATCAATTCATTATAGGTGGGCTTAGACTGATTTAAAATAAAAATGTGAGAGAAAAATATATTTTTTGGTTCTTAAAAATAAATATATCAAACCTCAAAATTTCACATGAAAACAATACGAGATTGAAACTGTTTTAAAATATGACTATTACTTTAAAGAAATCGAATAAATTGTTACATGGTAAACAGTTGATAGTTAAATTACAGTACCGAGATTAAATGATGAGAACTGGAAAGTTGATTCACAACAGCCATGATAGAATAAGAGTTATGATATCGAAAAAATTATCGACGGCCATGATAGAATAAGAGTCAATGATGAATTGATGTTTTTGTTTTTATGCAGAAATACTACGCACCGGGTGTTTCAAGAGCATTCCGGTCAAAAGTTAAAGCTCTAAGATACATAGAGCAACGGCAAAATACTACGGCCACATGTATTTATTGGCGTTTAATCATTTCTTTTGTATGGCTTTTAATGTTCATTTTCTTTATTATGGAAAACTATGTTGAAGTGTGCACATATTTGTGGTTGTAAGTTATTTGTTTTGTTAGAATATAGAAATGAATTAGCCTTCTCGTAGAATTTACAAATATTACTAGATTGGCATTGCATAGGAATAACTTTCCTTGTATCGACTAGATTCGTAAAAGTTGAATTCATGCATCTATTTATTGCTTTAGTCACTCAAACTATTTTATGTGTGTAAAAATATTTTCCTAGTTTATACTTTTTGTGCACCCAAAATGCTCTTTTTTCCCATAATTTCGGAAATATAAGAAACAATTTTTGCTATCCTTTCGCACACACTTGCTGATTTATTTTTATGATGTCCAAGTTCCGACCTCTACTATTTGTGTCATCTTGGAAAATTGTTATATATATATATATATATATATATATATATATATATATATATATATATATATATATATATATTATGAAATTATATTAAAGAAAGCCCCCCCACATAGTGTCCGAAATAGCAACACCACATTTAACATGTTTAACATGATTGTTAATAATATATAACATAATAGAATGAGAAGTGGACTAGATTAATTTGGGTGTGTATATGTATATGTACGTTGTCTTGTGTTATTACTCATTTATTGAGTTGGTCGTATGTATCAGGTCAGAAAATTTGTGAAGGGTCTGCAAATTGAGGTGGGCTAATTTGCAAGTCATTTGTTCTTTTTATGAGTTTTGACATTGAGCAGCATAGATATCATCCGTTGTCGTATCTCTCGATGGTGAAAGATGTGTTAATTGACTGTGAACTGATATTGGGTTACTTACATAAAGAAATGGACATAATTGCAGAAAATCGAACAATTATACAACTACAATACTTGCCTTATGTAACGCGTTGGGGTTATTTAGCTACAATGTTCACATAAGCAATAACTGTGAATGTATCCGAAGAACATCTAGGAAATATTCACGTACCTAAAAGGGCTAGCTAGCTATATCAAAGCTATTATGTTGGAGTTGAGTCGTCTGCTACTCCGTTCAATATCTGCATACCCCGAAATATTTTGCGCCAATAAGACACAAGCATTTGTGGCTCCCGTTCTGCCCGTACAGTCCCCTGAATTGGCCACATAACAATCGCAATGGAAATTAATTAATGAAAATAAATCGGCACATGTATAGATATATATACTAGATCATTAGATTTTTTTTAATTAATCATGAAGGAACTCGATCACAACAAATAATATAAGTACAATCGAGCATACCTCCCCTCTCATTCAATAACTTGCAAAATTCGCAATTAATTACGTCAATCTAGGAAAAGCTGGCAAGGCCATTCAAGCTTCGATCTGAGTAGTTTCAGTTTCATGTTTATCTCCAAAGTTCAATAGTTGAAGCAGCATTATGCATGTAATGTAGATATGAATTTTTTTATTTTTTTTGGTCTAAATGGTGGTAATTAGAACTCCGGACCTTTAGTTATGTTTAATATTTCGATAGTTAATGAATTCTATGTGTTAAGAGAAGCACCATATATATCCACCAGATTTGTATATTTGTATATACTAGCAAAGTGCACATGTGTTGCACGTGCGTGGTGATTTTCTCTATAAATTATTTTATGTTTTTTCTTTTATATTTCTCAAGATGCTTTATGAATTGAGTTATTTGCACATAATCCCTGTGTAATTTCGAATGGCCACAAAAACCATTGAATTGAAAAAAAAAAAAAGAGAAAATAAGCTTTGTTTGTTGGGGTTGTCTAAGGTCCGAGAGGGTTGTACTTCTAAGACCGTAAGATATTTAATCTAGTGCGTACAAAATTACTATTTGTTAACGATAAGTGTTCGTTTTGCACGATTTTTGCTTATCAAATCTTCGAGTTTTGATCTTCGTTCGCCCTAGTTTCGGCTTTATTTGTATATATTATTGCGTTTCTTGTTTTATTTCTATTTCTAGGTTTTATTAGATATTTTTGCCGAGTCGAAGCCATTTGAAAGCGAAACCGAATTTTCAAGCCCATTTTGGGGCCAAGAAGACCTCGATCGCGATACTGGATCTGCGTATCGCGATCAGGGGGTTGTCACATAACGAAAAATGATCAAGACACAGATCGCGATCTGACATTCTGGATCGTGATCTAGGGGTGTTCACAGAAGACTTTTTGATCAAGATCCAGATCGCGATACACATATCGGGATCGCTATCTGGCATGGCGGTGGGCAGTTCCCCGAGGCTGCCAGATTGCGATCCAGCCAACCCATATCGCGATCTGGGCACGACTTTTGAGAAAGATAGTTATTTTGCAAAGCTTCGTGAGGAACCTTTGTATTTCACTATAAATAGAAAGGTCCTTTCATTCTTCATGCTACTTCGACTTTTTTACGGTTTTCGACAGTCCTTCCCGAGAATCATCAATGGGGGTTTCGACTTGGGTTTTTCGTACGCAATTTCTTTACGTTTTGTTCTTCATTTCTTTTGTACATTCTTTTGACATTATGTTTGTTATGAACTAAGAACATTTTCTTCTAGGGTAATGAAACCTTGTATATATTGATTTCGATCGTCATTTCTGTTATCTATTTATCGTGTTATGATTTCGTTTATGTTTTCCTGTATTAAATGCTTCTGATTGTTTGATCAGCTCTCGAATTGATATTAAATAGGAATGAACTCGAGAGAGGATTTCTTGTTTGAAGTTAGGAAAACATAGCTCGGGGTGTGGAAACGGAGACGTGATCCACTTCGGATAGCCCTTAAGCACTTGATCTAAAGGCTCTCTTAATAGTAGGTTCTGAATGGAGACGCCGGACCTGTGGGTAGACTCTAACTACATTGGAGAAGGGGGTTAGAGTACTTTAACGTCTGGGTTAAGGAATAGGAATGTGACTTTCGATAACGGATTTGTAGATCGTTGTTGATTATACATAGGTGGATTTGGCCCTAGAAGTCCCTTTTAAATCGAAGCCCTCCCGTGTTGAGTTGTCGCTATTTTATTTACGTACATTCTATACTTGCATGTTTACGATCTTGCATGCTTTTAAACTAGGGTTTATCACCATTCCAATTATTTACCATCGGGTAGATAATATAATTACACTACTTAGCATGTGAATCTACAAGGTCCCTGTGGATCGATATCCAAAACCACTGTTCTGCAAAATGCGATATTGTATACTTGCGGTAATTTATACGTGAGGAAAACGCGTATCAGTTAATCTCATCCGTTGATTTTTTTGCACGACCTAGTACGATCTAGTACAATGCTGGGATTTTTAAAATAAAAGTAAAAACCTAGTAAAAACAAATCGTACACAATCATACACACATTGTACAGTTATATAAATTACCTAATTAACGTTACAAACTCAACCAAAAAATGTAAACTATCCATTAAACAAATATTACAATAATCATAATCAATTAACAAAATTACAAGAAAAAATAAAATCAAAACTCCCCAAATTCTTCATATAAGAACGCAACCACTTCTCTCCATCCCAGCCGATCTTATGCAGATAGCGGTGTTGCCGGTCGGCGGCGGCGACTCTTCCGACGAAGATGAAGAATACAAAGAAATTTCTTTAAAATAAAGAGGTTTTTTCTGAGCTTGTGGCTATTGCTAAAGCTCCAGGAATGTCGAATCATTCAGGTATATTTTGGAGGTTTCATTCATTTGTAGCACGATGAAAATAACAGGGGAATAGGCTTTATTAATCATTATTAGTCGAATCTTTTCGTTGGTATTGTATATCATGTTGAATGTTCTGATGTACTCTTATTTCATCTTTTATGGTATGATAAGAATATGAAATCATC